GGAACTTTATCGGTCCCATCTTGATCGGACGAGGTCAGAGACGAGAGCGGCTCCAGTGGAGCGGATATAGTCTCTCGCCCTCCTGTAGAACCCATGTATGGGCAACGTGAGCGCACACCGATGACACAAACGAAATACCAATTCAACGACTCACTGAGGGTGAGGCGAAGTCAGAAACACATTGAAACTCACCTCCCACGGGACTAGTAGATGTGACGTTCATAGTGCCGAATCGAGTGTCGGGTGGTGGCCAGAACCTGTGTGGGACGCGAAAATCAGGTTGGCATACGAACGGGAGATGTCACGTTGTCGCCTGAGGGGAGCCTCGAAGAGGAACGAAGCTGTGGTGACTAGTCGATATACCCGGGGAAGGCTCAGCTCCTCGGATATTATCGACAGGCTGTGCGCTGACCCTATCAAAAAAGATCGCTTGCGAACTGTTAGATGACTGAGACCTCGGGAAAGGTTGGAGAGCCGCATAGCTCGGGTACGGCAACGGTGCTGGTAGCAGCTGAGTGGTGGTCATTGTCCGAACAGCTGTGAGGCACTCTTGGTGCTTCAATATGTATCTGTATTGCAGATACATCAGAACGTTATCATCTCTCTCACTCATCAATCTGCATGGCCTCCTCCTTTAGCTTCCTCCACTTGTCAGCATCGGGAACAGATCGAAGCAGTTGTGGCCTCGTGGTGACTGAGCAGAAAGAAGCTTGCCACAGTTCAGCCCCAATCTTGGTCGTATTGAATCAACATCCACAAGTCCGAATCCCCCACCTCGTGACATGCTCCTCGACTGTCTGTGGCCAACCTGCGCCGAGGACAAGGTAGCTCTCAACTGAAGAGCGAACCAAACATGCAGCCAAGCATACACGAGAATCCGCCCAGCGAAAAATTGCATCAAAGGGCTACATTTGGCTGAGAGGAGGCTGATCCAAGAGTCTCAATGGCGATGCCTCCTAATGTGTCAGTGTGGTTCATCATCTCCAGCTTCCGGGCACTGACTGCAGTCTCGGCCTCAATAACCCTCAGTCGCTGCTCCTCGATCTCCCTGATATGGCCAGACCGATAATAACGACAGAAAGTGCCTTTAATCCCGACCTCTTCATCTCTTCCATTTCCTTTGCTCCTTCCACCAGTTCATTCTCCCTATCACTAAGCTCTGCATGGAGTCTGTGTGCCTACCGTAACAGCCAACTCCTGTGAGATTGACAACTGACCTTACCTCTGCACGGACATGCTCAGCTGCCGCATAGGCCTCAGCAACTTGCTGGGCCCTATTCTTCAACCGAGAAGCCATCTCAACCTGATGCGTCAACTGTCCATGAAGATGTACCGAATAATGAGCCCACTGACCATGCCGTTCATGTCAGCCCTAACATCAGCTTCTTGTTGACGAAGGAGTACCAGCCTCCTCTTCAGTTCCGCCGAATCCTCGTCTACCTAGAGGGTATCTCCACAAACCAGGTATATGATATCTTCCCACCTGCACACTCTTCTTTTCTATGGTCTCCATCTCGGCAGCAGCCCGATCGCGATGCCTCGCAACCGCTACCTCCGCCTCGTTGGCTCGTCTCTGTGTAGCCATGAGGCTGAGGTCGACGGACTTCTGTACACACCTCAGCTTCTCCCACTCAGAACGAAGCCTACCAAGAACAATGACCTAGAGAGGCCATCTAATCTCCACCCACCTCCTTTCCTGGTCCTCCCGATCAAGCTCGAACGCCTTCTGTTGAGACTCCAAAGCCAACTTCTGCTCATTCAGATTTCTAACGGCAGACTCTACTGCTGTCTCCCTCGAGAACAGAGCTGATCTGGAAACAAAACTGTTCTGCGACTTGATCAGTTGAAAGATAGGAAGAGGTCCTCTCCAAAGAATTCTCCCTCCCAGTTTACCGAGGAGTATTTTCGAGCACACACTTACTTGCTATCACGTTGCATCTGCCTTGCTGTCTCCTGTAGCTCTTTTAGA